TGCATACTGTTTGTGTAAAATGTACATTTGCATGTATACTATCAAGCAAATTACAAAACAATACAAAACAAAATAAATACAACTATATATTGAAAAGTCATACATATAAAGTAAACTATGTGTGGTAGCTGGTTGTTCATAAATTGAACAAACTTGTGTAAATGTGAAAATGGAAAAAAAAAGTTTTGCCAAGATACAAGAATATCAGACTGTGGGATGATTTTGATTGGTTGAGGATTATGAGGCTGCTACATGAGCCATGAGGCGGAGTAAAGACCTGCTATCATCAAACAAAAAAGAGTTTGTGTAGTGTTTGTCCCATTTAGCTCTGAGAAAGATGGAGCTCTATGTATTTTTGTTCATGCTTGCTGCACTTGTTTCTTCTGAGAACAAAGGTAAGTCAGTGGATTATCACTAATCATTTGTTAAAAGACACCATTTTCATAATCTTAAACTATATTCAAGGAATTCTGATATGTAACATACGTCCTGAAAGGTTAAATCATTGCCATGAAAATATTTGTTTTGTATTAATATTTGATTTTTTAAAATAATATCATAATATTCTGTAATCAGACAAGGCTGAGATAGAAAAATCTCATTTCAAAAATTGTGAGCAGTTTATGCTTCTGTAATTTTAATTAATAAAAATTGAGCAATTATTGTCAAAAATCATGCAAAATCAATGGTATAAATACATCATATTCAAACTATATTTAAATTTCTCATGTAGTTTGTCTAGACTGATAATGTACTGTTATATTGAGCTAATAATTTTTTTTTCTGTTTTAGTTGTGCATGAAGATTTCAATTTAATGGGATGCTCTGATACAGAGAAAGAATATATGTTTGGATTGGATGGAGAGGAATTGTACCATGCAGACTTCATTAAAGAAGTAGCAGTAGCTACTCTACCTGACTTTTCAGATCCCATCGGCTATCCTGGATTTTATGAGCAAGGCTTAACTAATATGCAAGTTTGCAAAGCAAACTTAGCCGTAGCTATCAAAGCTTATAAAAATCCACAAGAGAAAATGGGTAGGATATGCATTTTAATTATATTTATTCAATTGTGTGTAACAACTGTAACAATTTGGTTTAAACAAATGGTTTAATTCTAAATTTGGTTTAAACAAATTGTATCTCAAATGCTTGAAATAATAACAGCATCCATGTCTTTGCCTGTGTTATCAGACAAACCTCAGACTTCCATCTATGCTGAGGAGGATGTGCAGCTGAATGTTGAAAACACCCTCATCTGTCATGTGAGTGGATTCTTTCCTCCACCTGTCAGAGTCTCATGGACTAAAAACAATGAGGCTTTAAAAGAAGACAGTCTAAGTCAGTATCGCACAAATGATGACGGCACTTACAACATCTTCTCCAGTCTGCCGTTCACACCTGATGAGGGAGACATTTACAGCTGCACTGTGAACCACGTAGCTCTCGATCAACCTCAGACCAAAACATGGGGTGAGTGTGTGGTTTTATAGAATCACTTATAGACTTACAGATTTCTTTTATTTATTTTTCCCAATTGTTTTCTTTAAATAATAAATACAAATATGTATATATTCAAATAAAATTGATTATTGATGTGAAAGATAAGAGTAGCAGCCTAAAATATACATACGAAACACTTTACATTGTGGAGATATAACATTAATAAAGTCTACATTATTAAAAATGCATAAACAAAATGTCTGTATCTGTGTGTATCTTAGAAGTGGACGTTGCTGTGCCTGGTGTTGGTCCAGCTGTGTTTTGTGGAGTGGGTCTGTCTCTGGGGCTGCTGGGAGTCGCTGCTGGAACTTTCTTCCTGATTAAAGGAAACAACTGCAACTGACATCCCAGATATGGAAGCAAACTTTGAAAAGAAATTGTATATAGTGTGTAACAGGTCCTGCAAATACAGCCAGTTTCATTTGGCTCCAATTAAATTTAAAACAGTAATTCTGAGCATCATTTTGTCACTCATCACATGAGGTGACAGGAAACATCTTAGATGTTATATAGAAATAGATTCATAGACACTTCAATTTCAATATAATCTTTAACAACATTAATATTGCCTGATATTTCTAATAATGCACCAATGAGGCAACATCTTTGTTTGAAATGTAACACCATATACACTTACATACAGATGTCTAAAAGGCTTTAAATGATAGATGATCTTTTTGCTAATACATCACATTTTCAGCTCATCCAGAGTGATTTTGGACTTTTCATTTGAATAATTTTATCTGTTAGTTACTCTCTGGTTGAGCTCTTATTGTCTTCCTCATTGCTGGATCAATTCAAGTCTTTTTCAACAAATGTTATGGCATCCTTAAAAATTGTGGTACTGTGTGCTTGAAAATAAGGTAGAAATTGTTTTCACATTTTGAAATTTCCTGTCATTTTAATCAATTTGAAGTCAATTTTACAAGTACTACTTGTACGTTTTCTGAAATACACTCCAAATAAAGATTCTCTATTTTGATTTCACTTGTGATTTTATATTGTGTTGTCATCTATATAACTGTTCTAAAGACTTTTCCCCTTAAAAGCCTATTAGATGGGGCTGTCCATAAAACAGCAGACAGATGGCTATATGTGTTGGAAGACAGAGGAACAGACGAGAATAGAATAGACCAGAGGATCAAAAACAACATGATATTTTAGAATGACCTACAGAAATATTGGTGCCAATATCTAGATGTATGCTTTTGGCAGCCGCTTTTATCAAAAGTTGACATATTGCATTCAAGGAACAAATATTATCAGTTCTTGCTTTCCCTGCGAATCAAACCCTTGACTCTGTCATTGTTGGCACCATGCTCTTCTGTTTGAGCTACTGGAAGGCTAAGTTTCTCTTGAAATTGTTGAAATAGTGTATAAAATAGTGATGATAATAGTGATAATAAAGTAAGTTAACTAGTTAACTAAGGTTTGGGCCAGGCCTCAACTAATCACCTAAATTCCCAAAAATGTACTTATATTAGGCCGCTCCTTACAGAACTGTTTGTCTCGTTTTCCCGAACCCACCCTTCACCTCCCTCTCATCCATTCAACCATCCTTCCCATCCCTTCTTCTCTTCCCTTCCAGATTGCATCAGGGGGTCTTAATTGCTTGGCCTACATATAACAGAGATGATACCCACACCCTGAGTCTCTCCGGGCCACTAACACTAGACGCCCAGATCAAACTGACTATCATCCTATTTCCCCTTCATCCTCTCACTATTAATCCCTAACATACTATTCAATATATGAATTCTTCAACATTCATGGTTTTGGCATGGCCTTTATTTGTGAATAAGACATTAATAAAATAATAAAGAAAAATAACCAATGGTTTCACTAACAGTTTGAAGAGGTGCTGTGCAGTTTTGTTTTTCCAATTGATTTTATACCTTTCTCCAAACTGTTCAATGCTCTCTAAACAACACATTCAGCTAAAAACGTAAACAGATATAGTAAGATTTTATTCATTTCAATCACATTCCAAATTACATAGAGATCCCCCACATGATTGTAAAGTGCTTTGGGTGTACAACAATACACAATAAAACGCTATATAAATGCTTAATTCATTCATTCATTCATTCATACATACATACATACATACATCAGTTTCTCAAAACACTGCACAGAAATATCTCTAGTTTTAACCAACCAAAAAAAAAAAAAAAGAATAAATTATTGGTTTCTCCTAACCAATCCTCCTTTCTCCTAAATCACGTTTCTCCTAACACAACAAACCATTCTTTGTATTTGTCATATTCGTAATTGCGCATTAAATTGAAATCTGTTGTGTTAGAAATACACACAGCACAGGAAAGAAATGCACTAAACTGTTAACACAGCAATTCAAATTTTAGTTAAGTTTAGGGAGGTCAACTGTAAATTCCCAATGCAAGCAAACATTAATGGAAAGTGGAGAAAGAAGAAGAATGAGAAGGGGAAGAAATGGAGGGAAGAGTGAAAGGTGGTAAAGTCAGCAGAGGTGGAAAAAGCAGAAGAAGAGGTGAGAAGAAGAGTGAAGGTGGTAGAAAGAGAAGAAATATGTAGGACTGAAGAGTACTGACACAGAAATCTAGAGTATTGAAATATACAGAAAATTTTTTTTTTTAAATGTCCCAAACGTCAAAAGAGAACACTTGGTGTACAGTATAAAACACTATATTCACATAACTCCTCAGTGAAAAACTTTGTGACATACATGAATTTTCATCATTGTATTTGTGCATCTGTAGCTGTCATTAAGCAGTGAAATGCAATTTTTCAGCAAAATTAAGAGTCTGTTTTATTGCCTCAACTTAAAAAAAAAAAAAAAA